GGATATTAAATGTTTTAAAACTATTTCATTATCACTCTATATATTTTGGTTCTTTCACTTTTAAGTTTAATTATGTTCCTTCATTCATTAGCTTAATTCAAATTTTACTTCATTACCCTTAGCATATATATGCTTCTCTATAATTATCTTATAATAAATCACTATAAGGTAAAAAATGAAAACCACATGCATTACACTTTAAAATCTTGGAACCTAAAGTAAACATGAAAATGTAGAAAAGAGGGGAATATGTTGCCAACCAGATTGGCAAGCTCCAGTCCGGATCTTCATACTACCAACTGCAGAAGGGCGAATATGCAGATGGAAAAGCTAGATTCTTTTCTAGCGAATATGCCAATTAAAGATTAACATGCCAATGGAACACCTAGATTCTTTTCTAGTCAATGGCAAAGAAGAGAGGCGTTGGAGTCCTTGTTCTCATCATGGCGCTGTCTGGGTGCTATTTGCTAGGGTTCCAAGGAAAGGATCGCGGGGATCGCATTGGCGGTGGTGCTCGCCATGGCATCGAGCCCGAGCGATTTCTTCGCGTTCCACAGATTATCTGGGGTCTCAACAACCAGAAGATCGCGCTCGCCCGGGCTGCTCTCACCGCTAGGTATCTCAACAGGAGCCTCTTGATGCCCACTCTCAGCGCCTCGCTCTTCCATAATTCCTCCTCTCCAGCGCAGACGATCCCCTTCGACGCGGTCTTCTCGCTCGATTCTTTCAACTCGAGGTGCTCCGGGTTTGTGAGGATCGCGCGCGAGGCAGATGTGCCGGATGGAGCGCCGGCGGTGGAAGTGATCAAGGGAAGCGGGCGGAGATGGACGGCAGCTAGGGATCTAGAGCATCTGGAAGAATGTAGGAGGCAAGATCACGAGGTATTGGAGATTCTTGGCAAGAATCCCTTCTTGTGGCCGGATCACTGGGCGGTGAGGGAATACGTGATGATCTTCCAGTGCCTGGAGCTGACGAGCAGCATAATATCGGATGTGGAGTACGTGGCATCGAGATTGGAGCTGGCATCGAGCTCTCGAAATCCATCCTATGTCGCGGTTCACATGCGCATCGAGAGGGATTGGATGATCCATTGCCGGAACACCGAGAAGCGAGCGCTGGAGAAGGAAGGGAAGAAGCTCTCGATCTGTAGCACCAAGGAGGAGATCATCGATCGCGTGAGGAGGATCGAGAGTTTGAAGCGGCCGGCATTGGTATATCTGGCAGTGGCGGATGTTCTTCTCCAGGAGGGCGAGAGCTCTCTTCTCCGCGGCTGGGGAGAGGATCTAGTGCCGGTGGAGAAGAAGAAGCTGGGGGTTTTGGATCGCTACGCCAGGCATCCTTACTTGATCCAGGCCGCCATAGACTATGAGATCTGCCGCCGAGCCACAGTGTTCGTGGGCAACAGCTTCTCCACTTTCTCCAGCTTGGTGGTGCTCCAGAGGACTCTCGATGCGCCACACTCTTGCGAATCGTCCTTCGCCTACAATCTTGTGACGGACAAGGGCAGTGCGCGGCCATGGCTGGCCGACCTCTCCAAGCCATCGCTGAGCGAGATCTCGTATGAGTCACTCGAGGTTAGCTGTGCTGTGACGCCCGCGCCCTAACCCTATCGCAGTGGAGGAGGAGAGCGCGCGCTTCGCTGCCATGGGCGTGCCCGTGCCGCTCGGTAAGAGTATGAGATTTTTGGAGGCTCTTACACTCTAGTTTTTTTCGCAGCTCTGGAGAATGGATCGATTGGGTGTCACGGAGAGCTCATCGATCTCCTCAGCAGTGTACGAACCGTGGAGCTACCGTTTGCTGTGCCAAAGCAGCTCTTCCGGGTTACCGAAGCTCAGATTGTAAGTCTCATTTCTTTGTTTTTCCGATCGTCTTGTAACTTCTTCCATCAAAGGTGAAGGATGTGCTTCACGCACTGCAAGGATCACCTGGCGAGACGATCTTATGGGACAAAGCCAAGCTCCAGTTCTATTTCAAACTTGGAACACACGTCTCCCATCTCTCGCCATCCAGCTTGCTGGTAATGCTACGGCCATTTCTTTCTGCGGCGACGAGCTCGAGAAGAGTCCAAAAGTTCGTCTCCAAGGCCTCCATGTCGCTTTCTCATAAGTTCCCGACGTTGGAGGCTTTCGCTAAAGCCGTTTCTCTGCGGCTTGAGGTGGAGTTTGCTTTTGATTTCGAGGCATTCCTGTAATAATCTGTTCTCTTTGCAGCACATAAGGCGTGCTGTCCTGGAGAAAGAGACTGAGGCGGTGCAAGAGCCATCGTCTGTCACTCTATTAAATCTTTCCGAGAGTTTGTCCTGGTATGCATCGCAGAGAGTTTTCTGATGACCCTTTACTATTTTGCTTCATCTGCAGGGTCAGTTCCGCTTTCAAGTTCCTTGACCACGTTGTGAACAACGCTGTTCCGAATAACTTCTTTACGTATGATGCTGCCAACTTGTCTACTCACATCCTAACTTTCCTGTTTGACGCTTTGAATAAGTTCTCCTTGTTGAAGGATGGGGAGGTAGGCCTCCGATTCTTCTCTGCATTGGTTCTAACTTTGCTGCCAGTAGGAAGAAGCATATCGTACGCTGTTGCTATTGTTCGTCGTGAGCCTGTGGCCTCATGTACAACTCCTCGATACTTGGCTTCAGGAAGGAAGCTTGTCGGATCCTTTTGGCGAGGTACATTCTGCTCCAAGCGATTCGTGAATAGCATACTAACGGCTAACATATTTCGGGCAGCTGTTCTTTTATGCCAATGCTTCGGCTTCAATCCAAGACACTGCATTTTGGCAAACGGGATACTTAGTACGTTATACAGACCAAACCGGGGAGGAGCGGCAGAGTCTTAGCTGTGCTTCATTTCTGCAACCAATTGCAATGCCGATTCTTTCCGCGGGAAAATCGTTGCAGCTTTTACGGCATTTTCAGAAGGAAGGCGTGGCAAAGTCATCTGCTGTACAACTGATCCAAGCCCCAGAGACATCTCTGTTCGAGAACTTCTGCCTTTCCTTGAAGAAGCTCCTCGTACAAGACAACCTTCCTCCCACCGAGCTGTCGTCCCTGACTAAGATAGCCGCGGGGACTGAAGGTCATATATCCAGTACAATCATTCTGCCTTCGTTGGACGACCATGGACTTCGGAATGCAGTGTTTTCGGATGATAAGGGCCACGTTGATCGTACGAGTTATCTTCATGGTAGCGGATGCGGGAGTATTTTGCACCGTCAAATGCTGGTGGATGAAAAAGAGTTGAAGCTGGTGTTCGCAACTCTTGCGGAGATATCTTCAGAAGAGGTAAGAAGTTTGATGGAAATTAGACTGAAACTCATTTCAAGGATCCTGGTGAGTGCACAGGAAAGTACCGAGTGCGGAGCGGCTATCTCAATGTTAGAATGGCTACAACGTGTTGACTTTCCGGTAACACCTTCATCAACAGTGATAGTTCAAGAATGCCTCATCAGCTTGATAACCAAGCAGGTATACGTAGCCTCACAAGTTTGTAGCTTGGCTAAGCTTTTTTACAGGTTAATGCCATAGGTGCACAGTTGCTTGAAAAGCTAATGGGAGAATGGCGTCTGATGGAAGAACTATCGCTTCTGCGTTCTCTTTACCTGATGGGCTCTGGTACGGTGTCTAATCTCTCTTCTTAAGAATGTTGATGGAAATGTGTTTCTTTCTCTCTCTTTTTTTTCTTTCTTTCAGGAGACCTGCTGCAGCAGTTCTCGTTTGTGCTTTTCAATAAACTTGATCGTGGGGAACCATGGGATGATTTTTACGAGTTGAACACCATGCTACAGGTGAATGAGTAGTTTTTCCCTCTCTCTTTCTCTCATAGATGCATTTTGCGCTCAGGAATCAGTTCGAAGCTCTGCGGATGCTGCCATGTATTCCACTCTAGATTCTTTGGTTGTGAAAATGGAATCGCGCGGAACGGCGGAAAGGTCTCCGGTTCATCGTGTGCAGTTTACTGGACGTAGCCCAATTTTTGGCATAGATACTTTACAAGACCTCCGTTTTGAGTATAAGGTGTGCTTTGCTTTCCTCTCTAGCATATTTCATTGTGGCTTTGGCAGGTGGCATGGCCTTTGGAGCTCATCATTGACAGTGATGCAATCAAAAGATACAACCAGGTGCGATGTAAATTTTCTGAGCTTAATAATCATTCAATTCAAGTAAAACAGGTGATGTGCTTCCTGCTAAAAGTGAAGAGAGCAAAGCAAGCTCTGGACAAAGCATGCCGATGGACGTGGAAGGTTTGCATTTACTTTTTTGAGGGACGCAATTCACTTGAAACGCTTTTGGCAGGGAGACTCTGATAGCCACAAACCACAATTACTTCTACAAATGAAGCTCATGCACTTCGTAAACACCTTGCATCACTACGTCATGGATCAGGTAAGATCATTTCTATCTTCGAATTGCACGATCTAAGAAGTTTCGTGACAGGTACTATACAGTTCGTGGCTGGAGCTTTGTGAAGGAATGTCTTCGGCAAGGTCACTCGATGAAGTTATCTCGTGCCATGATATGTACTTGATCTCTATTCAGAGGCAGTGCTTTGTTGCACCAGACAAACTGGTAAGTATACAAGGCATTGTGTCCCTCTCACCTGACGCTAGTAACTCCATTCAGTGGACGCTGATTTCGAGCCGTGTGAAGTCGATACTGGGGTTGGCACTGGAATTTTATGCTGTCCAGCGTGGGGTCGTCGGAGCAGCAGGCTCTGCCCCTCGATCTCAGCTGGAAATTGACAACGTTGTCAAGCAGTTTGACGAGTGCATTGCGTTTCTTTTGAGGGTACGCTAGCTATAATTCTTACCACGTTCTAATGCTTTCCTCCTGTCTTCAGGTTTTGTCGTTTAAGTTGAACGTCGGACATTTCCCTCATCTAACGGAACTCATCACCCGAATTAACTACAACAACTACTACCTTTCCGAATCCGGGCAGCTGCTGACACCGATTCCAGACTTGCAACCGCACAGGCTGAAGAAGAACTTGTTTTCAAAGTAAAGGTACGAGGGATGCGTTTCATGCTTGGCCGCAACCTTCTGACAAGAAGCTTGTAGCTATAGTTCCTAGAGCTCCTAGTGGAAAGAAGCCGCCAGGACACGAAGGATTCCCAGTCCGGTAGACAATGGACAGGACTTGAGCCGGGGTGCGAGAGTACGAAACAGAGTAGTCGTCACCGACGAGGGTGTTTTGGGTGGTCCTGCCTTCGGCTCCAAGACACAGCGGAACGTGAATTCCCTCGTCATTCACGCCGTAGGAATGGTCTATGGTGCTACGGAAGTTGGAAAGCCTTGCGGTCACCTCTGCAACAGTGAAGCTGTACGGTGAAACTATGCGCTCGGCATGCTCAGTGAGATAGGCCCGGATCACTGCGTCCTGCCCCGACTCGACACCCAGCAGGCCTGCAACAAGCTGGTGACAGAGGTTTTGGAAGTCAGCCAGCTCCGGATGTATACATCACTTTACCCGCTTGGCCGTGGAGCTCTGGAGATTGGTGTTTCCTCCGACATAACCAGTGAGGCCGATGTAAGGGATCATGTAAGAAGCGAGCAGGAAGTTGAGGCTGTTGGCGTAGACGTCGAAAGGAGGATTGAGGCTGCCACCCAGGGCTCTGTCGAAGAAGGCCGCCCAGTTTGCACTGCTGAGGTCCAGGACAGGACGGCGGAACGCGGCCGAGCCTAGAGTGTCCTTGATGGCCCTGCATGGTTACGTGGGAAAACAAGTAAGAAGAGCTAGCTCCAAACTCCGGCTACTGCTCGACACGACCCGAGAACTACCTGAGGTGGCCGATCTCCTGGTAGCCGAACTGAGCGGACAAGTCTCTGGTAAACTCATCCAAGTTTGCGAGCTGAGCTCCTACGGGAGGTGATCCTCCGCCGGAGAGGCCGGGGATGATAACGTCGAGGCCGTGTCCGAAAGCACTCCACAGGAAGAACTCGGCTTCCAGGTACTCGACGTTGAGCGCGAGCTGGAGCCCCTCGGCGTCCGCCTCGGGGATGCCAAAGGGAATGTAGGAAGCGTTCTGGGAGACGAGGCAACCTTCCCAGGTAGAGACGGTCGGGGGAGAGCTACCAGCGACGAGCAATGCTGCTGCGAAGAGCAATACTAGCAGCGATGATCTTGTCATTGCAAGAAGAAGAGCTAGCGACGATGATCTTAGAGGAAGGAGGGAGGAGAAGAGATAGTTTGGAAACTCTGGAGAGGAGTTTTAAATCCAAATCTCCATGGACAAAGCTCTCACGCGGCGCGAATGATTTTCATATCTTTGTCCTTGCGTAGGCCGCAATGCCAAGGAGGTGGAGGCCTTTAAAAATATAGGTTTACCTTTGGCGTTATTCCCATAAAATTCTTTCTCCCATGGATGAGTTAGAGGAGAAGAAGGGGCAGCAGCTATTGGTCCAGCTCCTCTCGTGTGCGCGAAACAATGACGCAGCGCAGCTAGGGCGCCTCCTCCGCGCAGATCCAGCGCTCCTCCACGCCAAGGATTACGATGGCCGCACCGCGCTCCACATCGCCGCGCTCCACGGCGGCGCCGATGCCGCCCGGCTGCTCCTCGCCGCTGGCGCCAACGTGAATGCCACGGATCGCTGGGGAAACTCGGTATGTATTGGATTATCTCCTCCCTCGCTCGCGATCCAAGGCGTGCATTCTCGGGATCCCATCCCAGTGTTGCTTGTTTGACGCGTTGTTTCGCCTTCTTCTTAGCCCTTGACGGATGCCGAGGCTGCTGGGTTTGGGAATTTGGTGAGGCTGATCCAGGATTACGGGGGACAACTCCTGGTAAGAGCTCTGGGATTGCTCTCGGCATTTTTCTTGTTGTGATAGATCTTGGCAGACAGGGAATAGTGGTGTTACTCCTCCCACTCCACGAAACAGGGATTGGGAGATTGATCCAAGCGAGATTGACTTGCGACGCAGCACTTTAATTGGAAAGGTAAGAAGATCTCCTTTCTTCTTCTTCTTCTTCTTCTTCTTCTTGAGCGGTGGGATTTTTTTCTTTCCAGGGATCCTTTGGAGAGATTCGTAAAGTCGTATGGAGAGGAACTCCTGTAGCGGCCAAGACAATTCTACCCTCTCTTTGCAACGACAGAATGGTGGTGTAAGTTTTCTACTAGAGTTCCATCTCTTGACTGACGATGATTTGTTTTTTGTGCTCTGTCCAGCGAGGACTTTCGATACGAGGTCCAGCTCTTGGTGAAGTTACGACATCCAAACATTGTCCAGTTCCTGGGAGCCGTCACAAAGAAACCACCTCTCATGCTCATTACAGAGTTCCTCCCAAAGGTCCGGTAATTGTTCTTCTCGTTCGTTCACAGTCGTAACGTTCTCTAACACGCAGTCACGGTGCAGGGTGATTTGCACAGAGTTTTGAGAGAGAAGGGGGGCTTACATTCTTCCGTTGCCATCAACTTCGCGCTGGATATTGCACGGTATCTAGCTATGATGCTCAACCTATTTTAACTGTTGTGCCTTTTGTCTCCAGCGGGATGGCTTACTTGCATCGAGGCCCCAACGTTATCATACATAGAGATCTTAAGCCTCGGTATGTTTGTTATTGATCCTGGCTTGTGGAATTAAAATGGATGCTTTGCAGCAACATTCTCATGGACGAAGGAAGCGAGCTCAAGGTCGGTGATTTCGGCCTGAGCAAGCTTATACGGGGACAGAATCCCCACGACTTTTATAAGTTAACCGGAGAAACAGGGAGTTGTGCGTGTCTAAGACTCTGTTTTAGTTCACACTCCTAATGCTGATTGTGGTTGCAGATAGATACATGGCACCAGAGGTCTTCAAGCACGACAAGTATGACAAGAGCGTGGATGTTTTCTCGTTTGGCATGATCCTTTACGAGGTAACTCTTTCTCCTGGTGCAAAACGACTTCACGTCCTTAATGAATTGAATTGGTAGATGTTGGAGGGAAATGCCCCATTCTTCCATATGGAACCGTACTCTGCCGCTTCGACTGTAGCAGACGGAGAAAGACCCAGCTTCAAAGCCAAAGGATACACGGCAGAGATGAAAGAGTAAGCACATTAATCACTACAGAAGTTCTTCACGGTTCCTCACGCAAAAACTCCTGTGCTTGTGCTGCCAGGTTGATTGAAAATTGCTGGCAGGACTCAGCAGCGCTGCGACCATCTTTCCCCACGATCATAGAAAGATTAGAACGATTGCAAGGATCGCAGCAAGGACATCACCACCACCACTGGCCATTCACTAAGCAGCCGCCAAACACATTTGTGTTGTTCTATGAATCCAAGTATCCCGATCAGGACTAGAAGAAATTCAGCAATAGATCAGAACAACTCAAGCAAGATGGTGCAAGCCATTGTTACCGCGAGATAAACATGTCTGCTACTTTAACCCCTGAACCTTTAGCCCATCCATAGGCAATCTCCCACTCACCGTGTGCGCACGATGGAGAACGTCTCATGATCCCGAAAAAAAGCCATGGCCTACGCTTAGCCCCTGGCGTCTGCCACCCAATGGTCCATTGTCTCTGGTGCTCGACAGCTCTACGTTGTGGGACGCTCTTTTTCCCTACTTTTCCTCCACCGGGAGCTAGATGTTGAAGAGGAACAAGATCGAGCTTGAGTTAATGGATGCTCAAGAGGTGAGGGAGATTGGAAATACGTACATGCCATCCCATATAATGTTTCTCCTCTGGGTCTCCACTGGCATGAGGGCAGCTTCTACTTCAGCCAATCCAACTCATGAAACTCATGAAAGTTATATGTCAGGGCGTAGTTTACAAAAATAAAAGGGAAGTGGATTTGACCACAGGATTAGTTCATGGATTTTTTTAAAGTTTTACATCCAAATTTGAAATTGAATCTAACGGCTAGATTCGTGTTCTTAGACTGCTAAAGGTTTTTACTTCCACAAAACGAACAAAAATCCTTGACAAAGACACACATGCAAATTTCAAATCCCATGTTCAAATGCCACAAACCTGTCAACTTGAGATTTTAGCTCAAGCTACAAGACTAGAAATCAGAGTCAATGAACCCTTGTATCCAATTTCCACCACCTTCAGTCCTACAACTTATTCATGAAATCAATCGAGATCTCTCCCTTGCACCACGCTTGGCTATTTACATCTTAGCACTCATGGGCAACTTACTCAAACACGCGAGCAAAAACAAAAACAAAAAAAAATAAAAAAATTATAAAAACTCTTCTTTCCTGCCTCGGCCTGGCAAAGAGATATTAGTTCTAGAGGGAAAAAAGAACCACCGAGGGAGAGCCTACACTCCCGCCTTCTTCACCAGGCCAGCAAAGTATCCATTCTTCTTCGAGAGCCCCTCGAGCGTCCTTGCTTCCAATTCCGCAATCGACCTCTGCAGCCTCTCCTTCTTGAGAATGTCGTTATCAGTTTCCGGCGCTTTGGGCGAATACCTGTACAAACCTGTGCCCGGCTGCGGCGTCGCCGCTTCCACCACCGCGCAGTCCATGCGATTCACCGATATCTCGCATAGCTCGCCCGGGACACACTCTCGCTCTCGCGGACCACCTACAACGGACGTGTTGTCGAAGCCATCCTCCAGCTTCGCCCCCGACACCTCGGACACCGTAGCCTCCGAGACCGAATCCCCAACCGAGCTCGTGTGCATGTCAGTCACGTCCTCTCTCTCCGCCTTGAGCAGTTGCTCCTGCTGCTGCTGCTGCTCGCTCGCCAAAACCTGGTGTTGCTGCTCCCGTTGCTCCGGGTTTAGCACCTCACCGTGCTTCAGGCCCTCGTGAAACGTACCCGACGTGCTGTTGATCCACTTTGCCACCATGTCCTGCTTGCTAGTCGACGAAGAAACCAGCTCCGGATACTCTTCTTCTGCGGGGCTGAAATGGCTGTTGTTGTCGAGCCCGGTGGTGGGCTCGGGCTCCGAATCGGTATCGGTCGATAGGCAGCCCACCGAAACCTCCTCAAAGCGTCCAAACATCATCCCTTCCCCATGCGTCGAGTCAGTGCTATGCATCTCTGTGGCGTTTAGCTCTTCCGCCTCGGCAACTGGACCTGTATCTTCAACACCCTTCTCGTCGTCCGCATCAAATGCGCCGCCAGGCTTCCAGTCCGGAACCAGGGACAATATCTCCGCGTCAATCATCTCTGCGATTGTGGCTACGTCTTGGTCTGACAGGTCCAACTCGGTTACCATTTCACTGGCAACGCTGAAGGCGGTATCAGCTTCCAAGTCGAAAGCAAAATGGATGTTTCGCACATGACCTGTGGAGACCGAGAAACTCAGTTGTCACCTCAGAATGATTACGTAAAGTATTACCTTGCTCTGATATTCGTAGCCGCAAGAATATGTTGTCCTGTCTCAACTTTCCCTTCACCTTGAAGTCCTTGCTTTTCTGCGTGTCATCCTTGAATTCCGAGTACGGGTTCGTAGAAGGCTTTCTAGATATGTCGTCATTATCTGTTTCCTGTGAGCGGCAACTGTCGAAGCTGCCGTGTGCCTTAATCTTTTCATTCGGCTTCACTAGTTCTTCCATGTCGTTGACCCGATCTTTGTTAAGACTTGGCAAGGAATCTGCTACGCCGTCCCGATCGCTTTCACACTGAAGGAATGGATCCTTCAGTAGCTCTCGTGCAGGTAGCCTTTTGGATGCTGTGGCGAGGCACTTTTGAATGAAGCTTCTGACCTCTGGATCCTTGACCTTGTCAAGGGCGGCAGGCTTTATTCCCTGCATAAACAAATTCGAGAATGAGCTGCCAAGTTTCAATCGTATCGTGCAAGAACTCTCACCGACGACACTTTTTTGTAAATCTGTGCCGCATTTGTACACTCGCTGTAAGGGTAATCGAAAGTAACGAGCTCCAGCACGCACATGCCAAAAGCGTAGATGTCAACAAGTTCATTGTAGTCCTCCTCGTAAAGCTCCGGTGCCATGAACTCCGGAGTACCTGGAAAATGCACCGCTTTGATCAGAAAAGAGAATAAAGGAGACAGAGAGAGAGAGAGAGAGAGAATAAAATGCACACCAATCACACTGTGCGCAGCATGAGCCTGACGAAGAATTGTCGCCAGGCCGAGGTCTCCAATCTTGACTTCTCCCTGGTTCCCATTTACAAAGATATTGTCACACTTTAGATCGCGATGAATAATGGGAGGATCGTGGCTGTGCAAGTACAGCAGCCCACGAAGGATTTGCCTAGCCCAATTCTTGACCGCTTTCATGTCAACATTCTTGTGCTTCTTGCGGTACCTAAGAGACCAAACCAGAAAACAAACACACGCTAAAGCTCAAACTAAAGGATGTGAAGGGAACTCACTGTCGCAGTGTGCCGGAGGTGAAAATCTCGGTGATGAAGTTCACATTCTTGGTCCGTGGATCCACCCATGACGTGAAGAACTTGATCACGTTCTTGTGTTTCAAGCCCCTCAGCAAGTGAACCTCCGAGTAGAGCCGCTCAAGGTCCTCGGGTCTTCCCAAAACATCCTGGACATTCACCTGGTTCCAGGCAACCTCGATACCATCCACCTCGTCGAAAGCCTTGTAACTATACACAGATCAAACCCATGAGGAACGAAAACCATCTCCTCGACAAAAAGGACTTACACTGTCTTGAAGGCTCCACGACCCAGGACTTCGTTATACTGAGAGAAAAACCACCATGAGCTCTTCCATCTTGCCACAAGTCGAAAAGAAAAAAATTTACCCGGCCATAGCGCCCAGTGGGATCGACCTCGACAAACTCGGAATCGTCGGCATCGGCGGCGTTGGCCCCTGATTCCACCTCCATGACGCAGCACATCTACGCTGTTACAAAAAGGGAGGACACGAGCTCCAGCGGAGTGAGCCGCCGCTGCGGGATTTCAATCGGCCTAGAGGAAGAGGCGGCAGCGGCGATCCGTGGCGGCAATCAGACATCGCTGGGGCATCCAACGAGACCCTTGAGCTACAGAATCAACCCTAGCCCCCAGATTTCCAGCTCCGACACCTGGATCGCAGGCCCGCGCCCTGCGCGCCGCCCGATGCCCCTCCACGCAACCCGCGCCGTGCCGCCGCCCTCCTCTAGCGCGCAAGAACACCACAAGGCCGCGGGGAAGGGAAAAGAAAAGGCCTACTTCGCAAGCAATGGGCAATATAAAATACTCTGGAGCCACTCGCCGTAATAAAAAGGCACAAATGAGATTGCGCCACGTGGAAGACCTATTTCTTGATTTTTCTTTTCGCATTTGATAAGGTTATCTAAACTATACTACCAAACGATCAAAGCAAAGCTTTTATATGTGTTTATTTATTTACCTTTGATGTTGTCGAGCTTCTTGGAGATGACGACCGCGGAGCACGTCACGATGATCCCCAGAGCGAGACCGGATGCCCACGAGTGAGCGTCGAATCTCTCGAACTCTGGAAGACACCGCGACAGGAAACCTTTGATCTTGGACTTGGTCTTCGCGATGGTTCCAGTTCCACCACCACCGCTACCATGGTAATCGCCTCCATTTGTTGCTATGGATTCCACCGGGGGATGAGCGACGTCCACGAGAGGAGGTGGCGGCGGAGGAGCTTCGTGAGGATCCAGCGCAATCTCATCGCTGCGTTCCTCGTAGACTTTGGCGAAACCTTCCAGTTCTGCTCCCGGGATGAAATGCTGTTCTTTGATTTCCTCGGTCGTGTCCTCCACGGCCAGCTTTTCTTCTTCCTTTACCTCCTCTTCGCGTGAATTATCTTCCTCCTCCTCCAGTTCTCGCAGTAAATTCGATCCCTTGTCGGTCACTGGCACTTGCTCTTCCTTCTCTCGTGGTAGCTTGGCCTTCTCCTCGATCACTGGCACTTGTTCTTCCTGTTCTCGTGGCTTCTCCTCGCTCGCCTTCTCCTCGATCACTGGCACTTGGTCTTCCTGTTGGGCCTTCTCCTCGGTCACTGGCAGTTGTTCTTCCTGTTCTCGTGGTATCACCTCGATTGGGGACACTTGTTCTTCCTGTTCTCGTGGTAAGTTGGCCTTCTTCGCTGGCACTTGTTTTTCCTGGATCGCCGGTTCCTCTAAGTTCACGACTTGTTCTTCCTGAACTCCTTTCTCGATCGCTGGTTCCTGCTCCGGCGGTACTTGTTCTTCCTCCTCCCATGGTAAGACGGCTTTCTTCTCGACCTCCGGTGCTTTTCCCTCCACCACTGGAGCTTCTTCTTGCTCTTCTTTTGTTTCCTCCAAATTCTCGTCCTTGTCGACCACGGGCAAGCTCGAATTTCCAATCGTGTCGTCGTTGGAAGCTACATCGGTTTTCTCCGCCTGGGAATCAACGCCGTCGTCCACATTCGCGCTCCCTTTCTTGGGACCGGAAACCTCTAAATCGGAGATTACCTCGCCGCTCTCCGCGGCCTTGTTCGCGCCATCCTCGATCGATCGAGACTCTAGATTTGTCGCCTCCATCGCTTCCCTTTCTAAAACCCTAGCTCGTAAAAAACCAAAGGAAAGCTTTTTCTTACTTTTTTTAAACGACTTTTAGCTAACGCTAACGTAATGGAAGAGAAAGCGCCGCGTCTTCCAGCATCGCGTCGCCATTCCCGCACAGAATGGGCCACGGTTGATGTCAGCTGAAGTAGTGAAAATTCCGGGTTCTTCAACCCAGCTATGGCGGATTTGTGCTTCCCCTTGGCGGCGGGGGTCTTTGGAAGTGTTGCATGATCTAAGGGGCTGCCGCTGCTGCTCCACTAGCATCTACTGTTTGTCAAATCAAAGCTTTTTTGGGCCCGTTCTTCTTGGATCACATTTGCAAATGTTTTGGGAAATCTATGGATTGCTATAGGAGTATATGGAGGCCGTGAGGAGCTCTTACGCGACGACCCTGCGCCAGTGTCGAGATGCGGGGTCACTTCCGCAAGGTAGATCCATTCACCAAAAGATCATGCTCGCTCAACACACTTGTCAAGACATATTTCTCATGAATTTGGTGCTCCAGATGTATGGCAAGTGTGGGAGCATTGCCGACGCAAAGTCCACATTTGATGCTATGGAAAGAACAAATGTTTTCTCGTGGAACATCATGATCGCTGCGTATGCCCAGAACGGGCATTACAAGGAGGCCATTGTTCTCTTCTGGGAGATGCGTTGTCCACCCTCGAGGATAACTTTCATCAACGTCCTCACCGCTTGTGCCGGTCTGGGAGATCTCGCGGAGCTGGAAGCCGTGCACCAGAGGATCGTCGACTCGTGCTCGGAGATGGCGCTGGAAACCGAGGTGGTGCTGGGCACCGCGCTCGTCAACACGTACTCCAAGTGTGGGAGCCTCGAGGCCGCGACGCGAGTGTTCCAGAGGATGCGAGCTCGAGACGGCGTTTGCTTCAATGCCATGATCGCGGCGGCAGCGCAGCACGGGGATTTCTCTCTGGCGCTGGGATTCTTCCGGATGATGCAGCTGGAAGGCGTCCGAGAGACCTCCGCCACCCTCCTTGGCTTTGCGGCCGTGTGCATGGATCTCGACGTCGCCAAGAACATCCACGAGCGAGCTCGAGGCATCGGTCTCGACACTGATCTCGCCACCATGAACTCGCTGATAACCATGTATGGGAACTGTGGTAGCAGCGAGAGATCCTGGGCGATCTTCTCCTCCATGGATATCAAGGATGTGATATCGTGGAATGCGATGATCGGGTCTTTCTCTCAGTGTGGGGAGTTCCAGCGAGCAATGGAGCTCTCGCGGGCCATGGATCTCGAGGGCGTGAGATTCGTGGACGTGACCTTCGTTCTCGTGCTGGGCGCTTGCGGGTTAAACGATGAATCGCCCAGAGACAGGGAGCTTCTCCATGATCGAGTGATGGATTCCGGCTACCAGGACAATCCAGTCGTTGGAAGCGCGCTGCTAAGCATGCATGGGCGATCTGGAGAGCTCGATCGTGCCGTGGAGGTTTTCGATCGTTTGCGTGATCCAGGACTGGCGACCTACAATGCGATGCTCACGCAGTACGTCCAGCATGGTCGGGCGATGGAAGCGCTGGATCTCTTCAAGAGGATGAAACGCAGCGCGATGAAGCCCAACAAGGTGACGCTGATCAATCTGGTGGAAGCGTGTAGCGAGCTCGAGAGCTTGGAAGATGGTCGAGAAATCCATCGCTGGATCGCAGCTCTCGAGCTAGAAAGCGATCTCGTGGTTGGAACTCTTCTCGTGAACATGTATGGCAGCTGCGGCAGCACCGACGATGCGCGATCCAGCTTTGCGAAGATCAAGCTCGTCGGAAGAACAGAGGAGGTGAGCGCGTGGAATGCCATGGCTGGAGCACTAGCACAGAACGATTGCCCCCGGGAAGCCATGGGAGTTCTCCCGAGGATGGATTGCCAAGGAGTGAGAGCTGACGAAGTGAGCTTCATCAGCTTGCTGGGAGCTTGCGAGGATCTACAAGCGGGCACCCAGCTCCACGATCGAGCTGTGGCTTGTGGCTTCGATCGCGATATCGTCGTGGCCACCGCGATAGTTAGCATGTACTCCAGATTGGGCGCAGTGGAGAAAGCACTGGAAGTGTTCCAGGGGATTCGAGAAAGAGATCTTGTCGCCTGGAACGCCATTGTTTCTGGATTTGCCCAGCAAGGGCATTTGGAGGAATCGATTAGGCTTGTGCGGTGCATGGAGATCGAGGGAATGCGGCCCAACGAGACCGTGATGGCTACGCTTGCCGGATCGTGCCAGAGCTCCACTCACGCTTACAAACTCTACAGATTCATCTCTAGCTGCTACATGGAAGAGATGGATTGCTACGAATGGATTGGAGTGGCGATGATCCATATGTTCGCCAAGGCCGGGTGCCTGAGCGATGCTCGAGCCGTGTTTGATTCCATGGCGAAGAAGGGTGTGAGCCTCGCAGCGTGGAATTCCATGCTTGGAGCGTACGCCCAGACCGGGCATGATCGCCATCGCCACAACCAAGCACTGCTGTTCTTCACGGAGATGGCACAGCTGGGAGTGGATCCCGACGGGACGACGTTTGTTTGCTTGCTCAATTCCTTGACTCACTCGGGGCTCCTGGCTCGATCTCGCGATTGCTTCGTGGACATGGTGGGCGAATTCCAGATCGCGGCCACCAGCGAGCACTATGGCTGCGTGATCGATCTTCTCGGGCGGTGTGGGAGGCTCCGACAGGCAGAGGAGCTCATGAACACCATGCCATTCGTGCCGGATTCCATGGATTGGACGAGTTTGCTCAGTGCCTCCACAACCCACTCGGATCGAGGCATTGCTGAGCAATCGGCCTCCATAGCAGCAGCGCTAGATCCTGCGAATTCCGCCCCCTATGTTCTTCTCTCCAATGTGATTCGACATAGACGCTCCTAGGGTTCTAGATTAAAATATCTTCTTCTTTCTCACGGGTTTAGGGTTTTAGGGCATTTCGATGCCTTTGTAGGGATGGAAAATGCTCTAGGCGCCATCGCTTCCTCCATTCCTCTCTCTTCATCTTCGTCTTCCTCCTCCTTTGCCGCTGCTACATTCGTTTCCAGGAGCCGGATTTCGCTCCCGGGAGGAAGGCGTCCAAGAATGATGCTGATGAGGTCGATCGATGCCAGGGTCTCGACCGACGCGGTGAGCAGCGGCGCGTCGCCCGGAGATGACAGGTATGTCCATTTTGTGCGTTCTTGGAATGGAAATCGACAATCTTGGCGGGGATTTTGCTCGGTTCTAGGCTTCCGGGGATTTATGATATGGTGATGGTCGGCAAGACCAAGCCTCGATGGCAAAGAGTGCTTCTTAAGGTTAGCGGCGAGGCTTTGGCGGGAGATGGAACGCAGAACATCGATCCAAAGGTATTGCAAGAAAATGTAGCTATGCTGGCTTGGAATGACCGTTTTTTTTTTTTCCTCTTTAGCTGACCATGTCGATTGCAAGAGAGATTGCTTCAATGTCTCGTCTTGGCATTGAGGTAACTGCCGTTAATTGGTTTTCTCGATTCCAGTTCCCAAGGAATTCTTTAATCCTCTTTGTTTGCATCCAGATTGCCATGGTTGTAGGCGGTGGGAATTTTTTCCGGGGAGCAAACTGGGCCGGTGCCAGTGGACTCGATCGTGCCTCGGCAGATCATATCGGGTATGAATTCTTCTTCATGTTTATAATGGAAACAGATATTTTTCTTTTCTTGCATGCAGGATGATGGCCACAGTCATGAATGCGATTTTCTTGCAAGCGTCGCTCGAGAGTGTTGGAGTGCCTACTCGTGTCCAGACCGCGTATCGAATGGCAGAGGTGGCCGAACCTTACATAAGGAGGAGAGCAATGAGGCATTTGGAGAAAGGCAGAGTCGTCATTTTTGGTGCTGGCACGGGCAATCCATTTTTCACAACTGATACCGCTGCAGCGCTTCGAGCCGCCGAGAGTGAGTAGGCTCGTGATCCCACAGACGAACAGCATGCCTCACTGATTCCCTTGGCTTGTCCTTGGCAGTAAACGCTCAAGTTGTGCTCAAAGCAACGAATGTGGAGGGTGTCTACGACTGTGATCCCAGGAAGAACTCCTGCGCCAGGCTCTTGGATCATGTCTCTTACCGTCAAGTGGCAGCCATGGGCCTCAACGTCATGGATCTCACTGCTATAACACTCTGCCAAGAGAACAGCATACCAGGTCGGAATGTCCTTTTCTTTGTTTTGCGCTTTTCTGTTTTGTTCTCTCGTCTTGTCTGACCAGATTTTGATTCTGTGCAGTGGTGGTTTTCGATCTGAACAAGCCTGGAAACATCTCCAAGGCTCTTAGTGGCGACCGGATTGGGACTCTTGTAGACCACATTGGAAGCTCTGTGGTCTCCGAGTTAGACCGGCTTTCCGATCTTCAGCAGGTTACATAAGCTATTTCCTTGTGCGCTCTTGCAGATGTTCTTCAATCTGTTTGTAATGAGAAGAAGAACGACGTTGCTTTTGCACGAAGGTTGACCACTTGTGAGTGTGATTCTTCCTCCGAGGCCGCGTTTTTCTGGTTAGCACGTTGACCACGTGCTTCAAGTAAGCAACTTCTGAAATTAATTCCTCGAGATTTTCATATCCCTTTCCGACTGAACTTTACAGCAGCCCCACGAGACGATAGAACATGGCTCTCGCCAGAGTTTCGGGTCATTCGTCCATTCAGCCGCTGCTTTTCTTCTCGGATGCTCCGCGCTGCAAAGTAAAAAAAGTAAGCTCCCTCCCTCCTTTCCTTTTGCGAGAACTTATCCTCCTTTTAAAAGGCTGCTAGTTTAATGTGCTCATGTGTGCCCAGATGACTTCTCGGATCCAGTTTAAACGGATCACTCAATCAATGCATCGGTCGTGCAGCAGCAGTGCATCAGAGGATGCATCAGCTAAACAAACAGCTCTTGCTTTACGTGGAGCGAGCAATGAAGGTCAAAGCAGCGAGATTACCGGAGATGTGGCACTCGGACAAGGAGACAGAACGAGGGAGAGCCCAAGGCTTTGGCAGCAACGAACGAAGCCGAGCCAGTGGTGGGGAGCCATCTCTCCTTGTCGGCTTGTTGCTCCCGGGAATTTCCTATCCTCAGTTCTGTAAGTTTCTGGTTTTTGTTTGTTTTCTTTGACCTTTTTCATTCGTTGTTGGAGGTGCTGCAAAGTCTGGCCAGAGCTGTTCGGTTTGGATTGTACCGCAAGCCTTGATTTCTCATGCGTAATCGAGGATTCGTAGCATGTGAGCGAGAAAGAGGAATCCAGGCGGATACAGTGAAGCAAAGCCGTGTTTCTCTCCATCGCTTCTGTTCTGTACAACGAAAACGAAACGCGAGATTCGTCCAACACGCAAGAACAACCAAACTCGAACAAGCGTTCGTTTCTGTTCTAGCAATTGGCTTGATTGGTGTGAAGTGTGGTGTGTGCTCTCTTGTCTTTGCAAGAGAGGTCACGGAAAAAAAAAATCATGACTGCCTATACTGTACACCACGCGAAACGCGATTCATACTCCTCGGGAAGAGAAAAAAAGTATGGGAAAGAATCTCACTCACTCACTCTCGCTGCTTTGCTCACCACCTTTGTCGCAGCCGAAAGGCCATGGCTTTCCTCCGGGCATCCAGCAAAGTCCTCTTGAATCGCGGCAAAGAGAGCCTCACATTCTGGCCCTCCAAGTAGATCTCCTTGACGACGGCCCATCCCTGCGTGCTGATCTTGGCCGGATCGGTGAGAACCGTGTCGTTCTCGTCATACCTGTCGCTCAGCGAGCTCTCGCTGGCGTCGATCTCGTAGCCGATGTAGTCGAGGCCGAGCTTCTGCGCGGGCTGGCCGTAGTAGGCGGCGGCGGCCCACTTGGTTCCCAGCGGCACCACCTGGATGAACACCGATCCAGGGCGCATGAAGAGGAAGTGCGTCATGGCGGCGCCGTGGACGCCCAGCAGAACATCGCTGGAATTCAGTGCGCGGTAGATCCTCTTGAGCTCGCTGGTCCGATCGGGCTTGCGAATCTCCACCCAGAAGCCCAGCTCGCGAGCCATGCCCACGATCTCGTCCAGGTTGAGGATGACGCGCGTGTCGTTCCTGGCGATGATTGTCAGCCTGGGCTGGCCGATCGAAGACGCTGGCGATGGTGGCGGTGGCTCCGGAGCTTGAGCCTGCCCATCGAGCTCCTCTTGATACGCGGCGTCGAGGAGGTTGCGGAAATCCACGATGGTCTGGTTGCCCGGCATGAGCGATGGCTCGATGGCCATCTCGTCGTGGATGTGGAGGCCGACTGTCACCTCCGGGAAGCAGTGGATGCGCTCGTCGCGATCGAAGTCGATGACGGGGTGATTGCTCATCTGGGCGATCACGTCGCCGTACTTGGTGAGCCACCAGTTGTGGAGCTCCACTCCCACGAACACCACCTCGCGATTGAGGTGCTGGGATGTGATGTAGAGCGGGATCAATCCATCGTGGAATTCGTGGTACACATTGCCGGTGTAGCCGCCGGTGGTGAACACCACCGCTGGAACAGAGTGGTAGACATCGCATCTCCGCTCGGCCCCCTCGTGTTCTTCGCCTTGTCTGTGCTCTTCTTCGTGTTGATCGTCTTCTTGGGGCGATGGCGATGGAACCGCGCGGACTCTCACCTCGTGAACGATGTCCATACAGCTCTGCTCCCACTTCCTCGTGTATGGCTTGATTCTCTCCTCGCCAAGCCGCGTGCTCGCGTTCTTGGCCACGAGCACGAAGGACGAGGAGCGCGAGTCCATCCGGACATCGCCCTTGAGGTAGCACACATCCGAGCGAGGATGGGAGCGATCGCACAGGAAGATCTCATCGCCAGTCCCCCCCAACTTCCCGGGCAAGAGCACGCTGTGCCCGCTGCTTCGCTCCTCTTCCTGGTATGGATTCTTGAGCTCGCGACGGTGATGGTTGTGGCGACTGCCACGATCGCGCTGGTGGTGCTCCATTGTGAAGTAGCTGGCGCTGGGCCATTGCAAATCGCGGTGGAGCTCCACTCTCGAGCTGACATCATCATCTGCTAGCATCGCCCATGGTCAGCGCAACACAGAGAGGAAGAGCGATCGATCGACCCACCTGATTGATAGTAGAAGGGGAAGATGGTCTCCAGATTGAGGGCGAGGAGGGAGAGCACCAAGAAGACGAGAAGAAACGATCCAATCCTGGGCGACGAGAGCGATGCTCCTCCCCATCTCCACTTCTTGGGCGATGGCGGCATAGCGGGGGAGATTTTCTTCATTGTTGTCGCGGCGCTGGCGGCCCCAAATCTTCCAAGCGCGGCTACTCTGCTGGGCGAAGAGGACATGTTTCTATTGGAGCTATTTCAAAGCTAGACGGAATGTGGCGTGCCCTAGGATTCCAACCCCAGTGACTGCCAGCCGTCGGTCAGCGCGGAATGGCGAGGGGATGTTGAAAGACGCGGCAATGGAAGGCTGGCTTCCTCTTCTTTTCCTCTCTTCCATTTCTTTCCTCGATTTTTTTTACGTTAAAAGAATGGAGCATCCTGATTAAAGTAGAAACTTTGTGCATGGGGAGAATCTTCTTTAGCAAAGATTTTCGCTGTTGTTTCGTGAAAAACTTCATTTCCAGTTGCAAAGCACTCCCAGCTCCCACGATCTTGATGGGATACGAATCAAGTGTGTTTACCTTCCATATGTCGCCACTGGAAATAAGACCAATGCCATGAGACTTGAAGGAGGAATTTGCGGCATGAAGCCAGTGGAAAGATTGATCTGCCAGAGGAGACATTTGAAAGTTAAGGATCAAGTTGAGAGACATTGTATGAATTCCCACCTGGACGATAGAGACTGGAAATAAGCTATGCACACTCACTATTTTCTAGACCAAAGGAGAGATCAAGCCAAGGAACTTGACGACTCCTGCTCTCACCACAAGTTTTGCAATTGCAACAACCTAGAGAGACATACCCCAAGAATCTGCTTTACCATAGCCTTGATGTTTGCATCCTTTTTGCTGATAGAGAAGCACGTCAATGAAATCAACTCAGGCTGTGCATTACAACAACGTCAACCATCTCAGCTTTTTCTTCATTGCAACGAACCAAGAGTGGGACTTTATCTCTTTGAACTTCCTTCAAAGCCTAATACAACATTAAAGATGGAATGAGAAAATGAAAGGTTCAAACATACACCTTACTCAAGTTAAACCCATGCTTGTGGCCCAAAACCATCAAAGCAGAGTCTATGGCACATTGGATGAAACAAACCAATGCACAAAAGTCAATTAGTGGCAATGGTGATAAGGTTGTAATTATATGAGTTTCTGGTTGTTATATACTTTAAAAAAGGTTTAGTACTTCTTCTTTCTGTGGAAAAAAATAAACATGTAAAATTTTGCCCTAACCTATATAGTAAAAAACTTAACTTAATCAAATAAATTCTACTTTCAATCAAACTAGAAAAACATCTACTGGATCATTTATAACTCTAATATCATAATATAATGAATGTTAATTTGATTGAATTTTAAATTTATTTACAGAAGAATTATTTTAAATTGTTACACTTCACTTTTTTATATTGTCCAAATGCGAGAAAACTAAGAAAAGTACAACTTTAAAATGTTAGTAAAAGTCTAAAAACTAAAAAACAAAATAATAAAGACATTTTTATTAGAATTAGAATTTAAAAGTGAATTAAAAAATTCTAAATAAATTGTTAATAGAAATTCAGCAAATAAAATTGGGTGTTACCCTTCCAAAATAGTGAAAATCTTATAAAAAAATCATATAATAATACGTGATGAAATAATATAACTCAAAAAAATTTATTGAATCATAATAATAAGAACAATTTTTAAACTTTGTAAAAGAAGCTATATTACCAATTGAAGAACAAGTTAAACATGATAGTCATGTTCCTTTTAAGATTTTGAAAATATTAGAATAACATCAAAATATCACTAAAATGTCATAAATAAAGCATATATATATATATATATATAGATAGATAGATAGATAGATAGATAGATAGATAGATAGATAGATAGATAGATACACATACAAGCTTTACAATCACACATATATAGTATATTAAACATTATCCATACCCTCCTCTATAATTTTGGAATTAAAATTAATAAAAATTCAATCAAAGAGTATAATAATAATCCATTTAAACTATATTTGTGAGTGCATGGAATATGGAAAGGGAATACAGAAATGTGCATATCAATTAACCCAAAAACCCTAGCTTATATACAGGAGCGAGTGGTCCGGATTAAAACCAATCCAATGGCTACCAAAATCCACTACGCTAATATTAGTATACGGCATCGTAGCCGTACACTTGGCCCTCACATCATCCCCTCCTCTCGGAATAATGGAAGGCCGTCAGGGTTCTCTTGTAGATGGGCCGGGATCTGGAGGAACGTCAGGAGGAGGCATCGGTGGATCTGTAGACGGTATTAACTGCTCCTGATCCCTCTGTATGAAGCGTTTTAACCGCTGCACATGCACAATCTCCGGAGGATCAGCCTGCTGAACGTCATGCCGAACCTCATAAACTTGTGGTCCAACTTGCCGCAACACCCGATACGGTCCTTTCCACTGCGCAAGGAGCCCCTTAGATAAACCACGTACCGTAAGATGGGGAAAACGGACTAACACCAAATCATCCACTTTGTACTCCGCTGGTGGACGATGATGGGAATTGTAGCGCCGTTGTTGTCCCACTTGTACGCGGCCTAAGTGTTCAGCAGACTCTGCTCGGACAAGTGGAAGAATGCTTGTCAAATATTGATCCCATGACCTAGCATCAGGAGCTCGTGGCATACTTGAAGGTAAACCTAGCTCTGTTGGTAATATTGGATCATGACCATATAGAAGTTTATATGGTGAAGCACCAATAGAACTCTGCACCCTTGTGACATAAGCATACCGAAGAGACGGCAAATAACCATCCCAATCCGAATGTTGAAAGTTCACATACTTCGCAATCATCCCTTTGAATGTCCGAACGAGCCGTTCCACCAGACCGTCTGATTGTGGATGATAAGCACTCGTAAAAGTGTGGCGTATCCCCAACCGAGATGTCAAAACATGAAATACCTCAGCCATAAATGCAGGACCATTATCCGAAAGAATCCGTTCTGGACAAGAATGCTGGAACACCACTCGATTGAGGAGGAAGTATCCAACAGCAGTTGCAGAGGCACTAGCAAGAGCACCAACTTCCACCCAACGAGTCAAGTAGTCAGAAGCAATAATAACATACTCATTGCTAGCAGTCGATCGCGGAAAAGGTCCCATAAGATCAAACGCCACCAACTCAAATGGACGAGAAACTGCAATTGACTCCAACCGTCCTTCCGCAGCACAAGGGGGAGTATTACGAGCTTAGCACCAAACGCAGCTACGCACATACCGGATAATATCACGTCGCATCTCTGGCCAATAGAAAGATCTGCGCAACTTCTCGGTGACACGACGGTGTCCCATATGCCCACCTAGAATAGGAGAATCATGGTAGGCATGGAGAAACCGCGGAATAAACACCGAAGGCACCACCAGCCGTAAATGAGCATCAGGATCCGTCCCCACAAAATAAAGAAGGCCATCTTCAAGGCGATATTGAGAATGTAAATGCCGAAAAGGCAAGTCATCAGCAAGTGATGCAGGATTCTCAAACCCATCTCGAAGCCTTCGAATCCACGGCTCAATCTTTTGAGCCTCGCGAACCTCATCCAGAGAAGGTAGATCTTGCTCTACGCCCTGTGGACACTGAACGTCAAGGACAGCAACCGCCGATGGCACAGAATCCTCATCTAGAAAATCCACAGATGCTGGAACAACAGGTTCGTCAGAAACATGAGAAGTGAGTGGAGAAGGAAGAGGAGCTCGAGAAAGGGCATCAGCATCAGCCATAGAACTCCCTGGGCGATGAACAACATCGAAATCATATATCTGAAGCTTCAAAGCCCATCGAGCCGTACGACCAACCAAGTTCTTCCGCTTCAATAATGAAGTAACAGCAGCATGGTCACCTTCAAGTAACGTCCGAGAACCATGTAGATAGGCATGAAGTTTCTCGAAACCCCAGACTGCTGCTAAACACTCCTTCTCCATCGTGGAGTAGTTCATCTCCGCTGGTTGTAATGTACGGCTTATGTATGCAATGGGATGGCGCTGACCAGGCACACTCGAGCTCTCTTGCATCAACACACCTCCAAGACCAATGTCAGAAGCATCCACGCGCAAAATAAAAGGTCGAGTGTAGTCAAGATATGCCAAAACCGGAGGAGTCGTCAATAGCTCTTTGAGATTCACGAACGCCCGCTCACAATCGGGAGACCAGATGAAAGATGACGTTGATGACTTCAGCAACGCTCGCAATGGTAAAGTGCGATCGGAAAGATGATCCACAAAACGACCGAGATACTGCACCTTACCCAAAAAGCGCTGCACATCATTCACACACTTCGGAGTAGGGAACTTTAGAACAGCCACAAGTTTGTCAGGATCAACTTGCAAACCCTCACGAGAAATACGGTACCCAAGATAAGTTGTGTCCTTGGACCCAAACACGCACTTCGACCGCTTCAGCTTTAAACCAACGTCGCGTAGCCGATCCAACACTTTACAAACATCATGAACATGCTCCTCCCACGTCCCCTCCGAGTGGATCAAGACATCATCAATGAAGTCAGCTGTCACCTCCGACATATCGCAAAGAACCTCGTCCATCATTCGCTGAAAAGTTGCTGGAGCATTGTTCAAACCAAACGGCATCACCAAAAACTCATACAAACCAAATGGTGTACGAAAAGCAGTCTTAGGAATATCGTCTTCAGCCATTGGTACTTGCCAATACCCAGAAGCAAGATCTAGCTTGGTGAACCAACGACTTCGCCCTAGACGATCCAAGAGATCAGCAGTGTGAGGAAGAGGGTACACGTCCAGGATCGTCACTTCATTTAACGGACGATAGTCGATGCAGAAACGAATACTCCCATCAGGCTTCGTCACAAGATGAGGTTCACATGCCCAAGGACTCCGCGACTTCCGAATAACACCCTTCTCCAACATCTCCTTGACGTTTGCACGTAAAATCTTGATCTCCTTGGGTGACCGACGACGAACAGGAACCTTGATTGGACGAGCATCCCCGGTTGGAATGGGATGACGTGTGGCAATCTTGGCCCCAGACGATATGTCAAATTCAAAGAGATCAGAATACTCCTTCATGAGCTGGTCAACAACTGCAACACAAAGATCATCGGAGGGATCGGAAAAGGGAAGAGCAGAACAAGATGGAAACACAAGAGGAAATAATGGGGGAACAAAAGTAATGGAAGCAGAGGTAGAAGTAGAGGGACGAAGAGGTACAGAAGTGAGAG